CTAACCCCCTCCAGTACACATTTTCATTACGGATGTGCAATTTCCATGAATCTTATAAGGGCAACCTAATGGAAGGCAGAAAGCCGCAAGTATACATATTTCCATTGTGTTTCACCTCTATGAAAATGTTCTTTATTACCCTTTTTCCCCAGTCTGAACAGGGAATCTCAATATGGTATTACTGAGAGCACAAACAGAATGCTAGGATTGCCATTATGCAAACGATATTCCCGAGTTTCTCCTCCAAGAAGCTGAAAGTAAATTCTTCCCTAGTTTTGTCACTTTTTCTACAGATGGCAAAGCAACCAATAAATTACTAGCTGATTCTAGGGGGAAAAAAAAAAAAAAAAAAAAAAAAAAAAAAAGAGGAACGGAAGCTTTCTGAATTACAATCCAGAACTAATCTTTACTTTGATCCAGTAAGTTCATTTGATTCTGCAGTTGTTCAGGTTTCCCAGCAAAGTCAGCGGGGCCTCAATGTGCGGAAGAACTGCAAAATCAAGCCCATATTTAATACCTGTTGTCTCACAGTGATTGAAAAGTTTAATATTTCAACTGGGAGCTCATCACCCTGTCTCCCTCTACTTCAGCGAGTGCTCAGTAAGGTCCTTCGGACCAAATTCTGCTGGGCTGAACATACATAAATGCAATCCTTGCCACAACAAACATGAGTGCTGCATGTACCTCAGGACAGAGTTTGACATTAGGTTCAACGTGATTTGGAAATGCCTTTCTGGTTTTACCTCAGTTTTCACTGAAGCTTACAACCCTTATTTTACTTCAACAATTTTGAAAGTACTCAACCGTACGAAATCCTGAGCTTTGGCAAATGTCAATAATTTCCCCTTTAACATGTGTAAACAATGCTGCCATTTCCAGGCACAGCGCAGCATGAATTTCAACAAACCAAAAAACCACTTCCTCCTTTTCCCCAAAACAAAGATACAACATCAGTGAAACCAGACATCTTGAGCTAAATCACTTCCAACAACTTGCATAAGAACTGTACTTAAATTTTAAGAAGTCTAGCGCTTTCTGCAAACGGGCTTTGCTGGTGATCACTACAGGCAAAATACAGTCAGCGATTTAATTTCAGATATACTACCCAAAAATACAAACCAGCAATAACACAGGCTGGGAGACTCTGCCTGAAACTAATGTTGATTTTCTGCATAGATAGTAAATTATGGTAAAGAAATGAGGCAGTGCACAAGTGAATGGCATACACATAATGTCTTTCAGGAAGACATATTTTTATTACTGCGCTCCAGGACAGGCTGTCTGAATTCAGAGTTCATCGCAGTTGAAAATATAGTAGCCCACACATGCTCATTGTTAATTTTTAAGACCTGGCTTACCACCTAATACTTATTGTCAGTAACAAGTAACTTCTGAATAGAGGTTAAAGGTCTGTTTCTTTGTTTATCTTGATCTATTAATTAATAAGAGACAACTTTCTGAAATTAAAAGACCCTTAATGACTCTTTAAGGACATAAAGAAAGGAAGAAACACATGCAGCAGAGCACCTCTGGTGTGCTTTTAAGGCCAATGCTGGCTCTTACGATAGCTCTTTTATTTACATATAAATGCTTGTTGCTTGACAATTTAGATAAAAATGTTACCGCTGCTCTGCATGTGCTGTAGATTGAAGGTGTAAAACCACTGGACCAACTAATGGAGTCTTCACACATCATATCTTGTTAAAGAAGAGGTAACCCACTCTCAAATGCTATTACAATTCATCAAAACTATAGTATACGGAAGGTACACTTCTAACAGAAGTCCAACTTTTGTCTTTCTGAGTAGGACGCCAAATTAAGTATTGATTGAAGCTGCACCATTTCAGTAATGAAAATGATGGCTCCACAGTACTTATTTGAAAACACTGGGAAAATATTAAAACTACATTTAACTCCACGTTTCTCTAAACCACTAATATACGAGAAACATCAATGACTGGCCAGGGATCTTTAATTAGGTTGCAACTTAAAATCCAACTGCGCATAGAAGTCTACTTTATACATTTGCCTCATGCACCACAAGTTGAGTTTGTCATTCAATTCTTTCTGCCTTTATTTGTAACGTTCAAGAAAAGGAAATATTGCCACAAATGCCAATGGCTGCAATGGAAAACTGATGAATAGGGGTACTGAAAGATAACACTCACTCCTGCTATATTTCTAACAGATGTGGATGATGTGATCATCCATTCATTTTACTATCTGTTTCACCATCCACATGTGCAGTTTAATTGAAATGCAATTTTAGCATCTTTTGTATTCAGTGCATGCACAATCAAAGGTATACATTATTGAATTATGAATTAGTTGTGCCTAAACAAATCTTCAGGGGGGCAAGGAGGGAAGGAATATAAATACATATGTAAAAATAACCTCCCTACTTACACCGCCTACTTAAGTTGACATCAGTGTTTTGGTATAGCCACAAAAGTGAGAGCTTGAAGCCACTAAATGGCTCCACCATTAGCCTGTCTATTGTCTCAGTAGCCTTCAGTGCACCTTCTTCATGCCCTCAAGGACCAACAGTTCATTTACAAGCCATTACCTAAGGAGCAACTACTAATTATAGCAAGCCTGCCAAGTTACACGATGGTTTTCTGGCTTGGTCGAAGGCTAAGACCTCCAAACTCATTTCACTTGTGACCCAAGAAAGATTTCAGCTTAGACCTCCAGAGGTGGCAGTCTGGAGCAAGAGGATGCCACATCACTGGCTAGTCTCTTATTTATAAGCTCTTGTTGCACAGGATGTTGAAATCATTAAAAGAAATCTAAATCTAGGGTTTTTCCTAAAAATAGAAGGCTTCCTGCTAGGCTGAGTTTGCTGTCTACATAATTTTAGTATTTTATGTTTAATTACTTCATAGTTTATAGATTTATTTATAAGATTATGAGAAGAGCAAGTCATAAATACACAACGATTGTTTACTAGTTAGTTTGGATTATACATAAATACGTTGCGCAAGCTTAGCAAAAACCTTTTTCACCGAGCTGAATCAGAACATTCAAACTGTATTTTCAAATGTGTCTCTCTGCCTTATCTAAATTCCAACATGACACATAATAAATAGCTTCTCATTTACTATCATCATAAAAATTTAAACAGCCTTGAAATAGTTGCTACAATACAGGGGAAAATGATCAAATGTATGTTCTAAATACCCACTTAGAACAGTAAAACTATTTCCATATTGAAGAAAGAACACATAAAGATGCATTGTTGCAGTAAAGGCTGTTACCTTGTTTAAAAAAAAAAATCTTCTACTCAGTATAGTAGTGTTAGAGTCAACAACTTGCTGTTTTACACTGCAAAAAAGGACTAACAGCCCTTAGCTATCATGTAGTGTCAGATTTGCTTTAAAAAAGAAAGTATCTGATTTGATTCTATACAGTGATTAAACATCTTTGTGCTCTGCTGAGTAGGGTATTCTATCCCCTCCCCCCTCCAAAAATGGCATCAAAGCAATCAAAATGGTAATGTTCAGCATGAATGGGGCCCCATCCCCCACCTTCAAACTCTGCAGACTTTTCTCCATGTTAGAAGAAACCAACACCCCTTCCTCACAAAATGGAAGCTTCCACTACCAAATTGAGAGTGCTGACAAATTCTGATTACAATAAACTGGGAGGAAAAGGGTGGCGGAAAATCACCATTGCCTATGGGCACAGATTACATATGCACGGATCACTTTTCAACTTTAACCGCAACTCCAGCAAAACACCACCAACAACAAAAAAATTAAAAAAAAAAAAAAAAAAAGCCTTCCTTCTGTGGTAGTCCTTTAGAAAGCCACAGACCTCAGATAGAAATTTTTTTGGAGAATCACTAAGTTGTAGTAGGTATTTTGCAGCTGATGCAGCTAATTCAGCACAGTGCTAGGGTTAATGGAGAAGAAGGCAAAGGGTTTTTCCATTTGCGCAGGGTAGTTTCTGTCCTGTTTCTCACTCCTCAGTTCCATGCAGTCTGTAGGTGCATGGTAGACCCTCGTGCTCTTGTGCCCTGTTGTTCCATGCCCAGCAGGACCCATGCATGGGGCTCAGAGCTCTCTCTTGCCCCAGGACACCAGGTGAGAGGGAGGGAGAGTTTGTCACCCAGCAGGGACCTGCTGGTCACAGGAGTCAAGCTGAGGCAAAAGGAAGATATCTGATGGCTTTGTGAAAATGGAGTAATATAATCTGACCGCATATAGGTCTAGCAAATTTGATGAAATCATTATGCTTTGTTCATACCTGGTATTTCTGCTTAAGTATGCAAATTTAGATAAGTGGCTTCAGTTATGTTATACTGTGCATTAAGATTAATTCAACAGCACGTAAGACTCCTCCGGGTTCTGGGGTTCTTTTTTCCCCCCTCCCTCCCTCCGGCAGCTGAAACAGGTTAATCTGTTTTTATTCGTATTTTTGGAAGGGGGGGAAAAGTGAAAGTGCCTAAGTGAACTCGAATCAAAAGCTAACACGTCAGATCAGACCAAGGGAAGAGAAAGGCAAGTGGGGAGGGAAAAAAAAAAAAAAAAAAAAAAAAAAGAAGAAGAAAATAAATAAAGTGATCAATAAAAATCAGTTTTGTAAATCAAACCCAGAAATGGCTCCGAACTGGGCTCAAGCCTCCTCCCTCCCAACTCTTGCTCTGCACATTACACGGAAGTGCACAAAGTAGCCCAAGACAGGAGAATTTTCCATATTCCTAAAACATGTCGACCAACTCAAAATGGACGCCTCATTTTTTTTTTTTTTTTACGTTTTAACTACTGCTTATCTTTTTACTACTAGTACTAAAATCATTCTTTCCCCCAGCAAGACATCCGAGAATCCGACCTCATTTTGAAAACATGCATTTTCTTACTTTATGCTTAGGAAAATGGATGTTATATTCTCTGCTGTCGGTATTTTTCAGCTAACGCAGACACTTTTCGGATGTTTAGAAAGTGCATTGTAAAAACAAGAAGAAAAACCAAACACAACTGAATCGATCTGTTCCTTACTTGTTTCTCATTAAGAGCTGCTATTCTTGATTGCCTTTCATGGATTTGTTTCTTAAGATCCCCGTTCTGCAAAAACGGCAATAAGATGCATATTAAAGGCAAAGTGTAAACTAACCCCTGTAATGAATAAACTTGCGATCTAGAAATTGTTCAAAGGCAAAACCGTTCCACCAAAGCCGTACGAAAGCATGCACACACAAAACACCCTCCTTAGTAAGAAAGCTCAGTGCAGACTACAAAATGAGATCTCTTACTGATAAAGTTTCTCATCCTGCTGTCCCAGCACAACTGCGCTTATTACAGCAGGGATAAAATACTGAAGAAGAGAAAAAAAAAAGATCTGCATTTACCTGTGGATCTTGCTTCATCTGTGCAACTAGTTTCTATAAAAAAAAAAAAAATCACCCCCAAAAAAGGAGGAATTAGAAACTGTTTCAAGTTTAATGGATTTTTTTAAATGTATGTATGTGTGTGGACGGGGGAGGGAGGGGGGTAAGGAACAAAGAGGCAAGTAAACACTGCGAGTCAGTTTCAAGCAAAGCTCATAAATATTCAAGTCTCGTCCTAATCTCTCCAACACACACACACACACACACTCACTCACTCACACTCGCACACACTCGCTCACACTCACACGCACACACACTCACCC